GATGAGTACATGGGAGGGAAGGCACTGGGCAGACTGGAGAAGTGTCCCATTGGAGTAAGCCATGTTGATATATGGGGGCAGCTTAGAACAGTAGGGAAGAAAAAGTGCAAGGAACATCTGGGGAAGACCGGTTGATGGACAATGCTACATTGAAGGATCAACTAAGAGTAGCAAGGGTAGTAAGACATGGACAACGTACAAGCAGACCGGCCAGTACAGATGTCATGCTGGAAGCTACTAAGGGGAAGGGGAGCCTTGCCCTACTCAAAATCCTGCCTGGATTTTGCTTCATCTAAAACCTGAAAGACTCAAGGCTTTCCGATGTTCAGTTCTCCCAAGTCCTAATCCAAAGGTGCCTTTTCAAAACCCAACTGGACTTTGTTTGTCCTGGGAGACGCTTCGCTTCTCGTCCAAGAAGCTTCCTCAGTTCTGAAGAAGCTTCTCGGATGAGAAGCAAAATGTCTTCCAGGAGAAACAAAGAAAGTCCAATTGCCTCTTGAAAAAGCATCTTTGGGAAAGCCATGACCTGGAGGGCTGAGAATCTCCATAGACACCTCCAAGCCCTTAAAACAGTTTTAGCAGCATCTCTGAAGCATCTCTTTCCTTCCAGCTTTGGTGGAAAAAAACAAAAAAAACCAACATCTCCTCCATTTCATGCCACGCACACTCTCGCTCATTATTTCTGCAATGTAAAACACAAAGGAATCAATATTTTTTTTGTCGTTGTGCCTGCTCACCCCCTACCCTGTGCTCCCCCCCCCCGCCCCTCGGTGCCATAATCTTGGCTGTCATTTGAGTTTTTAATTGTGTTGTTTTCTCTGGTGTGCAGAAGTAAATCTTATCTGTTTGGGATTAAAATTCAATGAAGGTCAAGGCGGTTGCAAAATTTACCAGCCAGCTGCAATTAATGTTTGTTTTGCCTTTGATAAATTGGAACGCTTCCCTTCTCTAGAAGTGGAGTGGGTTTCAGAAGCTGTAATTCTTCCATTAACTCAATGATTTCCCTAGCATGATAAAGCCACTTGTCAACTTCTCCAGTTTGTCATCTGTCATTTCAAGGTCCTGGACATATGTCTGATATGTTTTATGATGATTATTTGGGCTTCTTGTGTCAAAACATTGAAAGCCACCAATTAGTCTTTCCATACAAAGTGCTGGATTAAACAAAAACGTGTCATTCAATCGCCTTGCTGCTTCCTATCCCCCCACCTGCTTAATTACACTTTCCTTCATTATAAATACTCATGAAGGGTTTCATGTGTTTGTTTGCGATATTTCTTCCCTCACTTCTGAGACAAAAGTAGCGTCCCTTAAGAATTTTTTGTTGATGTTGCCAATCAGACAGGTTGGTGACAGGGTGAGTTAATTCCAGAACTGTTATTTGAACTCTATTGCACACACACACACACACACACACACACACACACACACA